ATGATGATGATGATGATGATGATGATGATGGTGGTGGTGGTGGTGGTGGTGGTGGTGGTGGTGGTGGTGGTGGTGGTGGTGGTGGTGGTGATGGTGGTGATGGTGGTGATGATGGAAAAGATGACAAAGATGGAGATGACGATGCTAACGACCATGTTGATCATAACAATGTTCGCAGGGAGAGATTGACCTTGACTTTGACAAGCTCGGAGACGAAGTGGATTCGGATTCCTTCAAGTTGCGCGTGAGAGGTTCACATGCAATGTCAAACACAAACTGACGTAATGTCATGCCCTCACTGTAGCCTCAGAAGAAAACCAAGGTGACAGAACGGCCATAGACTTGTGACCTTTGACTTGCTTCTTCTGCTGCTTCAGGTTGGAAAGATCCCGGCTAGAACATCAAGCACAGATGGTACAGATGGGTATGCACTGACAAGAGCATTGAAAAACTTCTGAACGTTCTCCTTGACGAGACAGTCTGATTAATCAGTCTCTTGGAAACAGCAACGCCAAGCTTAATCCAAGGCAAATGTAAGCAGAGATAGAGGATACGACAATCATCGTGTTGCAAGATTAGAGTAGAAGCTGACCGAGCGACGGTTTTCCGATCACAACCAGAAGATGATGGGGAGGCAAGCAGGGCGTGAGACCTGAGAGAGTGAGTGAGGTCATCATGTTTGTGTCACACTTGAGATCAGCCCGGCGCTTCTCCCACACCCCTTGACTCTGATTTGATGCAGACTCGCACAGCTTTGTCGTCAGCGCAAGTCAGAAGAACAAGAGGTGCAAGCACCGCATCGAACTCGTTCAGCACAGAAAGAGAATCTTCAACATGAGCCAGAACAAGTGTTCTCTCTACAGGCTGTGCTGCGCCTTGCAGTGCGTCAGCAAGCAGCGATGGAGAGGAAGAAGGAGGATGGAGAGAGAGAGGCGCTGAGAGAGTTGACCAACAACTTTGATAGTCGCAAGTTGTCCAAGGCAGTGAGAGGACACAACTTGCTGCTATCCTTGATGGCTCTGCTGGACCAGCCAAGTCATGTTGCGCACGATGAGGTTCAGTTCGCCTGGTCGCAAGTGAAAAGCCTGCAAGATCTACTCGACAGTCAGCAAGCGGTTGTGAGGAAGCTCGCTGACGACAGCTGGGCCGGTGCGGTTGGTAGCGGAGGGAAGCGAAGAAGGCTGCAAGGGAAGGCTGACAGGTCAGAAGAGTTGACAGGAGCGATAATGTATCGCGAAGAGGTTCGGAGGACGCTCATGCAAGAAAGCAGAAGCCTGATAGAGATGCTCGACCCCCTCGACCCTTCAAGCTTTTCCTCGCTCCTGGTCGAGTACAAGCAGGCTCTCCAAGAGTCTGCCAGAAAGATCGAGACGCTGTTGGAGTGCGGGCAGCAGCAGGACGATGCTCCTGCTACCAGCCCTCCTACGACAGAGGAGTTTCGATCACAACTAAGCGAGGCGGCAACAAGGGTGTCGCAGTGGCTTGACATGGTCAGTCAAAGACTGGCGTCCTGCAAGAAAGAGAGGAGGAGCATCGCGGACCGATATGCCGGTTGCTTCTTCGAGCTCGGCCGCATGCTGCAGGGCGAGGGTTCTTTGCGCAGCTTGAAGGAGGCCAGCAAGCTGCACAAGGCGATCGTTGAGGACCACCTGGAGCTGGAAAAAGCCTTCCTGTGCGAGGAGGAGGTCTTCACTGACTCGTGCCTGATCCAGCGGTTCCCCTATGAGAGGATCTGGTCGTTGCTGCCTTACGCGCTGTCATGGATCAACGGCAGGCTCTACTGCCTCGACCACATCACAGACGTGCAGGCGGTGCAGGCCAACTTGGCGCAGCTTCGGAGCTTGCAGGATCCTCAACCCATCCTTGAAACCTGCGATGACCTCCAGGAAAGGCTGGAGGATCTCAACGATAAGCACTCCGAGCTCTTGCTCATGCTGCGCGTGAACCAGCGGAAGGAGCTGGACTGCCAAGAGATCGAGGAGAAGCTCAAGGCTCTGAGGAGGGACAAAGTGGCTACGGCACGAGAGCTCGAGCAGTTGGAGCAGGTGCTGTGGAAGCTCTTCCTCCACTACCCGGAGTACTCGAGCCAAGTGAGAGGATCGTTGGACGTCGACGTGGGAGGGCACGAGAGGATGGACATGTTCGAGCTCATCAGCCGGTTGTCCATGGCGGGGCAGCGAGGGGCGCGACACAACGTGCTGCACGTGAGGCAGGAGGAGGAGGAGTTTGTGATCAAAGAGTTCAGCCTCTCCGAGGACCCGAGGGACCGACGGCACTTCCTCAAGGAAGCGAGCATCCTCCGTCGCCTGAAGCATCCCTACCTCATGACCTTGTGCAGCGCCTTCACTGAAGAGCACAGAGAGCATGGCCCCAGGGAGGTCAAAGGATACCTCAAGATGCCCTTCCTCCTCGGAGGGAGTCTGAGCAGCTGGATGAAGCGAGTCAGGCCGGGTAGGATCCACAGGCAGAGGGTGCTGATGCAAGTGCTGCAAGGGTTGGAGCATCTCCGGCAGAACCGGATCATCCATGGCGACATCAAGCCTGACAACATCCTCATGTCCTCTGTGGACGAGCACGCCGAGCCCAAGATCGCTGACTTCGACGTCTCCAAGGAGCAGGAGGACCGCGCGAGGGACCTGGTGGCGACAGTAACGGCGACTCATGTGGTCGGGACCCTCCAGTACCTCGCGCCTGAGCTGCTGCTCCCTACGACCGAGGAGCGACGAGCCTCGCACAAGTCGGACATGTACGCGTACGGCATCGTCATGACTGAAGTCCTCGCCGAGACAAGTCAGGACGTCGAGCAAGACAGCAGCAGCCTCGTGCTCGCAGGTGGAAACCAAGAGGCCATCGACCTCATCGGCAGGCTGCAGTCTAGTGATCCTCAGCAACGACCATCCTCTGCGGAGGCGCTGACGCATCCCTACTTCTATCGCTCCACGATCCGAGAGATGGAGCAGTTCGAGAAGCAGCAGAAGCAGAAGCACGAGGAGCATGAGCGAATGTGCGCGGAGCTGCTGGTACGGCAGGAGAAGCTCAGGGAGCAGGAGAGGTGTGTCACCGCAAGGAGGGAAAGCTTGCGCACGGATGAGAGGCAGCTGCTTCTGCAGCGCAAGGAGATGCTGGAGAGAGGAAAAGAGCTCGAGGCCGACGACAAGAGACGGAGAGAGCAGCTGCAAAAGGCAAGGAAGGAGCTCGACGAGCTGGAGGCCCAGGTGAACGCCCAGCAGGAGCAAGTACTGGAGGATCTCAAGGTGTTAAGGAGAGGAGAGGCAGACCTAGAGCAGGAGCGCAAGACCCTGACGTCAAAGAAGCTGCTGCTCGGCAACCACCGCGCGGTCCTCGACCCTCCCCTGTACTGGCAGCACGTCAGTGTAGAGAGTCTGCAGCACACGAGCACCAAGGTGGACGTGACGCGGGAGTGGAGGGAGAAGATACAAGAGCTCATGACCTCGACCTGCAAGCAGCAGTGCATCGGGCGCGGCAGGAACAACCGAGGCTGCACACACAAGGGGTTCCTGGTGGACCGCGTCTTCCGGGTCGAGGACAAGAACCTGTGGTCGGCGTACGCGCTGCAGCGCAAGAGCATCGGCAACTCGATGATGGAGCAGGGGAAGCAGCACCCGACGAGTGCAGTGAGCACTTGGAGGGACTGGATGAGGGAGGAGCTGCTGGGAGACCAGCTGAGCAACGAGGTCTTCCTCTTCCATGGCACGCAGCACGAAGTGACTGACGTGATCCTCTCCTCGGGCTACGGGCTCGATGAGCGCGTCTCGAAGCTGTCGGGGCACTTGGGAGCAGGAGTCTACCTAGCAGAGAACTCGAGCAAGAGCGACGAGTACTGCACGCCTGACGCTGACGGCTTGTGCTGCATGTTCCTGGTGCGTGCAGCCTTGGGGTCGCCCTACGAGACGACGGCGAAGATGACCAACCAACGGCGACCTCCTGCTGGCTCTGACTCCCGGCTCTTCGACTCCGTTATAGCTCTGACAAGGGAGACCCACCCAGGGTCCTTCCTGCAGTGGCATCGAGAGTTTGTCGTTTACGATCGCCGACAGGCCTACCCGGAGTTTCTCATCCAGTACAGGCGAGTTTGACGCGCTGCCAGTCAGGAATGCAACCCGTGTGAAGAGCAGGAGAGAGTAGGAGGGGACATTCTCGGATATGTGATTTCCTCACATGAATCATGCTGAGACTGCCCTTCAGTGCAAGCTCTGCAATGATGCTTATCATTGAATGAATGTTCTTCCTGTCGCCATGGGCTCACTCGCTCTCAAGAATCCTGATACACTCTTCATTCCAAGAAGACCAAGATGCCATGAGTCTTCTGTACTGAATCCCCGCATGAATCCATTTCGAACATGGCCACTGGCACTTGTTCGTATTGGACTCAAGTAAAACACAAGTCATCGATACAATTGTTTCGCGCTATATGACAACCTCGTCTCACGTTCCCCAAACTTCACATGCATTCAGCAGAATTCATGTTCAACTGCTAGACATCATCGTTTATTCACATGTTGTACAAACTCGCCCTCTTGTTCTCCGAAATGACCGCAGTACCTCACAAGCTCATCGATGACCCTCTGTCTTCGAGATCCCCGATCGGCGCCGCTCCAACTGACTTGCTCAACCTCTCTGACTTACTCAACCTCTCTAACTTGCTCAACCTCTCCCCCCACATCAACCCCAGGACCTCAGTAGGCGTCTAGCTTGGTGAGTTCCGCATCGCAAGAGCTACTGGGCTGTCTTCGCCGAACTCCCCTCATCATATCCTCAAGAAAATTGCTGTCTTATCAAACGTTCTATATGTCCTCTGAGGCAGGTTGTCTTCTAATAGATTTACCTTTCGTTTGCACTGACCGGAGGCGAGCCCGAGACTACAAAAGACAGAACTATACGGTTTAGTTTCTGTCTTCTCTGCCCAAGTGTAATATCTGGGGCGGACTTTTATGAAACCGTGCTCCGAGCGAAGAGGGTATCCCGGAGCCCAGTGCCGATACGTGATCTCTTGATATGAAAACATCTCGTTTCGTAAAGAGATACCATCAGACCTTGATGGTCAAATCGAAATATACCTCTTTAGCAACGTTTCAACACTGTACCCCGTGTCGACCCCTATTTTCATGTCCCAAACATGCAACTCTTCGAAATAGACCCTGGTGATTACAGAGATCCTCCTTGGTACCTCTAGAATCTGGTTATGGAGGGGTGGGTAAGAGTCCTTGCCCAAACTTTCCGTGACGATTCAAATCAGTCACGGCATGGGAGGGCTAACCAGAGCTTAAAGAGGAAAGTGTTATCAAAGGAGGGGTACACAATCCCAACAAATCATATAGAAGACATGGCTCATGCCAGGTCGTGTAAATATTATGATACCCCTGGTATATTTAAGACCACCACCACCCCAATCTGTACCAGATTGTGGTACCCGTGGTCTCAATCCGCTCGGAGCCCTGGAGAGCTCATCGCTGCTCACGCTTCAACCCCAACTACCCACCCCAGGTATCGATCTTCAACACCATTCCTCACACCCTCCTGTTCCAACAAATGAGTCAAATACCCCCATAGTTCACCGATATTGTAGGGGTAATCAATAAAATGACTACCTACCCCTACGCCCTCCCTCATCACCCTACCCCCTCCCAAGAAGGAACAATGCAATTGCTCGCTCGAGTCGAGCGCACCCCACAGATACCACCCTCGTAATACTACCCTGGCACCCCCACTACCCCATCAACTGCACAACTGCCTTTCCATCACACCAAATGTCTTTCAACTACCCTACGCATAAAGAACAATTCGCATAGAAATGAACCGGTACTAAAAGCACGAGGAGGAAATAGTAGGGTACGAGGGCAAAGGCAGTGTCACCACCCCTGGTATTCTAGCGCCTCCCCCCGTGTCTATATATCTAGCTCAAACAACCCTTAACAGCAGAATCTTCTTCCATCTTTCCCTCACACACTCGTGCTCTCCCATCCCTTACCCATAGTCTACTTGCAAGCAAGATGAGTGCGTTTGACAACCTCTCGTGCGATTGTATTGATCGTGACGAGACCCTCGATGATCTCCATTCCTTTGAGGACGAGCAGATTGCTGCTGCTGTCTTCTTCAGCGGCACAGACTCGTCCTCCAACGAGGACACCCGTGAAATTTACGGCGATCACAAGAATCTTGAATGTCTCCTCCAAGCCAAGGCCTCCAAGAAGCGCAAGTTCGACGAGGATGAGGAGTTTCAGTCCAGCGAGGAGGAGGAGGAGGAGGACATCCCGCATCGCCATCAGGAGCTCATCGACATAATCGAGATTCCCAACGACCCTGTTGATCAGGTTGAGCAGCTCATGTCCAAGGTCTCTCTGAAAGTGAATTGCTCTGGACCTCCCAACCTCCTTCTCAACAATCTGAGCTCTGCGATTTCCAAACGCAAGAACAGCATCTAGATCATTATTTTTTCTGTTGTACCTGTTTCAATTAAACATTTTTATTCATTCAATGCTCTGCGAGATCTCTTTAATGATATCTATGTCAGTGATTCAGCTGAAGCTTGGATCTCTTCAATCTGGTTCTTGTATATGAAACATGTTACATGCAATCTTGCCGAGATCCTTCGGTTCTCATGCACCTTTCATAGATTCTCCCTTACTGGGAAACGAATTGATCAGTTACTCTTGTCTAGGTTGTAGTCATACACAAACAAACTATTGTTCATCGAACGAACGATTTGGGTCATGTTTCTCCATGCTTGCTAGTCTGCCATCAAGTTGTTCTACTATCTTTCTCCAGAGAGCGATCTCTTCGTCTTTCTCGGTCAGAAGTGCTTGCAAGCTCGAGTTCCTCTCCCGTTCCGTTATCAGTTGCTCTCTCGCCATGTTCCATCCAGCCACCAGTCGCTGGTTCGCACTCTGCAAGAGGATGTGAGGGAGCAGGAGAACTGTTTCTCTTCCACCACCTGGAGCTCCATGATTGCCCTGCACTGCTGCAGGCAGATGTCAATGGCGTTGCTCAGTGAAGTCTTGAGTTTCTCTTCATCATCCTCGACCCGTCTAGCTGTTGGGAAGTCAATGGACGCTCCAATGGAATCAAACCAACCCACCTGCTTGCTGATCACCAAGGATGTCTTGACTGTGCGAAGAAGACGGTTGCTCTGAGCTTTCAGACGGTGATTGGACGCTCTTGTTATCGCAGACACTCTCTAAATTTTCATCTTCTGCGTTTTCTCTTTCCGTCTCCTTCCCCTCCTCAGCTTCCAGAACCCAGTCGATCATTCTACAGTGCCCGTCGCCTTCACGCGGCGATGCTTCCTTCAGCTGCACGCGAGGAGGATCAAGGACCTCCTCTGCCTCCTCTAGCATTCTCTCCAAATTCGAGAAAATCATAGCTGATCTGCGCTTCCCAAAGAAATTCCTGCTCTTTGTCCAGCAATCACCCCCTTCTTCTTTCCTCGCATGGCTCGGATCAAACGTTACTCTCCTCCCTTGCTCCTTGCTGTCAAACTTATTCTCAAAACATTCTCCTGATTTACCTCCCTTGCCTCCTATCAGCTCTATCCACCAGGGATCCCCACATGTCTTGATCCAAGGCGTCTCCTCCTTCACCATGGTTGTCAAACTGCTGCCTCGTTTCGACTTCCTTGCAATGCTGAATCGATTTTTGCGAGCATGCGAGACATCCAGAGGGGCTCGAAGACTCTGGCCCGATGATAGAGAGTATCGAGAATCATCTGGAGAAGGCACTGAAAACGGAGGAGAGGAGCTTATCTTGAATGGAGAGGCGGGAGAGTAGATTATCTCAGAGGGGACAGGGGAAGAGGAAGATGATACTGATGATGACGAAGTTGAAGAGGACGCTGTGCATGACTTGCAAGATTTCGATTGATAAGCATAGTGTGTGCTGTTGGTTTCCGATCGGCAATGATCCGATCGATTGGAGTATGGATGCGAAGCTCGTGGCTTACTTTGAGACGAGGAGGAGGGCGAAGGGGTAGAGGAAGAAGAGCATGATGGGAGAGAACTGGTGGTGTTTGAAGACCGAAAGGAGGAGGAGGAGGTTGACCCTGCAGTGGAGGACGGCGACGCGGCTCCTCCTGAGCTTGCTATGCGGGTACGAAGCGATCCCGCCATGATCGCCCTTGGCGGGAATTGGATGATGAGGGGTAGGGTCAGTCAAAAGATTCTCTGAGGAGGGGTTATTTTCCTGTTGTTCAGGGGGTGAGGGTATTCAAAGTATACCAGGGGGTAGGGTGATGGAGTGAGTGTCGGAACCATGAGCATGGGAGAGGGACGGGGACGGAAGAAGGACGGACGATGACGATGACGATCATGGTGATGAGATACAAGTTGATGTGTGACTCAGTTGACGATGAAGTAAGCAGATGTCAAGTCAGCATGACATTATTGCCGATCCCAGGACAACACACTCGTCCGCATTGATTCCTAGTCCACAGCCGCCATGAGTTTTCAAGTCTTTACTTGCACACGCTCAGGAAATAGAGCAGCTTTAAATGCCTGACTCGCCGGAGGGATAAGTGTTCTCATACCACTGCTGCCCGTACACCGAGTCGTAGTCCTTCCACTGATGATCGGCAGTGCCCTTGAAGACCCACTCGGGGACCTTGGCAGAGTCAAGTAAGTACATGATGAGAGCATGGAAATCTTCTTCGACCACGATCACAGGGACCAACAAGGAGTGGATGTAAAACAAAGTGTACAAGCAACAAGGAAAGAAAACACAACAGAGAAAGACAAACAATGATACTGGAATTGTGATCGAGCGAAGTAAGCTGTTGAAGGTGAACGACAAACATCATTGGCAAACAGACAGGTGCCGCAGTTGCAAATGTACAGCATGCAACATAGCAAGACAAGAAGTGAGAGGGAGGAGGAAGAAGACAGGATCAACAATCCTCACATCTCCGAGAGCGTTGGTGTAGTGGTCGACAGAACCATCAGCATCTGCCTTGGAGCCCCATCCGTTGGGTCCAACCTTGGAAGCGACAGTGGTGCTGCACGAGGTTCAAGTTAGAGTAGTGAGGGCAACAGGGTCATCGTAGCAGCATATGCAGACGAGCAAGTTGAGCTATAGGACGACCCTAAAGTTGTGTGGGAAAGCATTTGGGATGAAGAGGACAGGAGTAGAGAGGAGAATCAGGAATACCTTGCAAGCTTTGGGTTAGGAGCATGCCAGCAGCACTCATATCCGTCTCCAGTCTGATCCTCATACTCTCCATCGGCGCTCTCTCCTGCATCCAAATGGTCCAACATTGTGAAGCGCTGTCTCCTGTTCATCGATGCAAGCTCGGTCCTAACGCCACTGGAATTGTATTGCTGCCAGAGTTGTGAGGTCAGAAATGCACAGGAAAAATGCATTTGGCACAGAAGACATGTTCTACATCATCGACCACTAATATTTCAGTCAGGAGGACATTTATAAAACAAGTGTATGAGACAAGCTATGCGAGAGACACAGTTGTTCAACAGTGTGGCAGAAGAAAATTGCAAACATCACAAAGAATTCAACTAAGATCACAAGGAAGGATCATGCGACGACCATTTACAATTATGAAATCGAGGTAAGAACACCATGAGATGGGAACAGCACAATGTGAGTCCTAGGTTTGGTTGGAAATCCTCATTCCACAAGCAAACAGGAGATACGTCCAAGGACAACAAGAGATGTTCTTCACAATACAACAACACATGTTCTGTTCATCCATTCAGCAATCAAAAACACGACTATATCTTGCTACACAACATGCTCAAGCTACATGCAATCCAAGTTGCATTGCACTCAAATTTCTTTCAGACCCTCCATTTCCTTTGGCGGAATCCTCCATGTCCTCAATCCTCTTTCGCATCTTCACGCACTCTTCTTCTCACGTTCTTACCGAATGTGCAACAAGAGCAGTCAGGGCGGCTCCTGCCATCAGCATTGCCAGCGTCGCCGCCGCCATCCCCAAAGGCCCTCGTACTGATCCAGCCATTGTCGGTAGCCCTAGAGGGTAAGGGGTAGTATGATCACCCCATATGAGATGGGTAATGCCATTTTTTATTGGGGGTAGGGGGTAGTATGTTACCAATCCCGGCGGTAGGGTCATTTTGATCTGATGGCTCTTCGCGCACTGCCCTTTGGAGTTGGCACTTTTACATAAACAAAATTTGCAGATTTGTTTCTAGAGTTTTGAAATATTACCAAAGAAAATACGATCCATGTCGTTTATTTTCAAAATTCATCAGCCAAGTACTTTTGCGTTGACCTCGCAGACGGTTTAAGACGTTATCGGGCCCGCCCGGCCGCAGCGACTAGGCGCTAGTAGCTGGCTAGTAGCAACTTCCGTGACCGCATAGCGCTATGGGCTGGGCGGCGGCGGCGACGGCCCGGAGGCCGGCAGTGAATTCAGGCGAGTAAGCCTTGAAGGCTGCCGCAGTGCTGCCGCTCCGGGTCAGGGCCGGGAAGGCTAAGTGCAGTAAGGCCCGGCTAAGTTCATGCATGAATGAGCAGACTCGGGGCGTCACAGTGACCGACAGTCTACTATAGTACTTTACTAAGACGGTTCCGGGCCAGCGGCAGTGAGTCGTACGGTCCGGGAGCCTCCCGGCCCGCCGGAGTCCGCCGGGACTCCAGTCCGGGACTCGGGCTTGTTCCGAAGTTCTACCCGTACCGTCTCAGCCTCCTACTCAGCAGCTGCACTCCGCTCAGGCATGCCTTCCTGTCACTACCTCCCCTTGGGTCGCTGTGCTCCACCTCGCCCTGGCATATCTGACGCAAAACCAACATTAGCTCCAATTCCTCCAGCCTCCGAGGGCGTCGGCGCCCCCCTCCACTTACTCATGTAGGGCTGATGTTGCGCTACGCCTGAGCACACGCGTCACTCCGTCACCTCAGCGTCCCCAGCTCATACCTGGCGCCATGGGCACGGACCCTGGCCTCCCCTGCTGCACAGGTTGTCTCCCTGGAAGCGTCTCAGCTCTTCTCTTCCGTTCCCTTCCCTGCTCACCTTGCATGTGCGCCGGCATCACCCCAGGGTTGCCGGCTGCTCCTCCAGGATACTGCCGCTGACGCAGAGGATGAGGGCAGGAAGGAGGATAAGGGGCATGAAACCTGAGCCTGCGCCATGGCTTGCTGACCCTGAGGAGGCTGCTGGTGAGTTTGCGGCTGCCCGGGCTGCTGCTGGGAGCGACATCAGGTCCTGCAGTATCCTCGGAGGAAGACCTTTACCCCTGGCTGACCAGGCTGAGCTTGACGCCTCTGATGGTCGAGAAGAGCATTAGCGACCTCAGTGCAGAGGAAGCGAGGAAATGAACCTGAACAATGATGCCGAATAGTTTCCAGTCCGTCGAGTTCGCGTTCTGTTGCAGCAGCAGCAGTCAGGGGGGGGAGGGGGGGGAATGCGTGAGCTGCAGACCTTGGGGTTGCCGTCGGGGGTCAACGCGAAGATTCGCGGAGCTCCTTGCTGGATGGCAGGGTAAGATGAGAGAGAGCAGGAGCAGTTGGCAGACAGTGTTTGCGATGACGTAGGCGAACTTGTTGTGCTTGGTAAGAGAGAGATGCAGCTTCCTGAACTTGTCGTTGGGAGCTCCATCGGGCCCCTGCAGTTCTTATCATCCCTCGGCTACGTCATTTCGCTGATGCTCACCGGCTGCTCGGTGAAGCACAAGCACAAGCCCTGCCAGTCGGGGAGCTTGGAAGCATCCTGACATAAAGTCAACGGGGAAGTAGGATGTAGGTAGGATGTGAGGGCTGACTTCGAATTTCTTGATTTCCATGGGAGGACTGTCCCCACTTGTCAACGGCTGCTCCATCGTCATACACAAGAGGATGGGATCGGAGCAGAAACACCGGAAACATCGATTGCACCCTGTCCTTGGCTTCAGGCGGCGCGTTAGGATGCAGAGCAACGTATCCGTACGCTAGGCAAACGTCAAGGACAAAAGACTCGCAAGACAGGAGGGAGGGAAGAAAAAAGCATCGCAGCTACCTGAACAGAAAGTCTCTTGGTTCCCTTCCTTGAGAGTGATAAAGTTTCCCTTCCATACAAGTTGCTGTGTACACGGAGTCATGTCTTGCCTGCAGCAGCCACGGGATACACAACATTGAAAGTGTTGATGGGCACAGGAGCTCCCGTCTTGTCCGTAGACGAGGTTCTCATGATCTGTAACAAGCTCGTCAAACTGTACCACGAATTCTCCCATAGACCACCTGTTGACCAGCTGCCTGGGGATTCGGAGGAAGCTGCCCTCCTTGCATGGTCGTCTTCTGCATCTGAGAGATCCAATCTCCATCTCCGATGCGAAAAGAATGAACTTCTTCACCTGAGACGAGACGTGCATGGAAGGCTGCGGGGGTGTCGGCTGATTGATAGGATGGGCACCATGCCGCTAGCGTCTCATCAGGAGGGGGAGGATCAAGTTTCGACGAAGACGATACCTGCTGCTGTGCAGTCTGAACCTACACAGACACGGGTAAGGAAAGAGAAACACGTAGGATGGCGTTACATATCATCTCACAGACCACAGATGATGAAAACCATCACATGAAATTCACTACTTCACGACCACTCTCTTACAATCAATCTCCATCTCCACACCCGCTTTGATTCCAATCATCATCATTCTTAAACTCGCTATAATCATCATCATCATCATCATCATCATCATCATCATCACCTGCCCGGGGACCTGTCCAGGAACTCCAGCTTTGTACGGTTGGTTCAACATGGCCTGAAAAAGACCTGGAATGAGAACTACTGAACTCTCATGGAGGATAGAGAACGAAGGGGGAGAGGGCGTGTGCGAGCAGGAAAGAAGCAGTGAAGGGCAAGACAAGAAGTAGGGTTGCCTGCGAGGCTTGCTGTTGAGCCTGCTGCTGTGCCTGCTGTTGTGCTTGACGTTGATTGCTGTGATTTCAAGTCATCGGCAGCAGGAGGAAGAGTCAAGATCTTACAGCTGCTGCTGTTGCACAGCTTGACTCCGATTGGCCGCAGCTTGTTGAGCGGGGGTCATGCCTGACCAAGGGAGCAAACAATCTCAGATCGTCGTCCCAAGTCCAGCAACCCTACCAGGTCGGTATCCTCCTGCCGTAGCTGCTGCCTGAGAAGCTACTGGCTGAGATGTAGCAGGTTGCGAGGGGTTGGGCATGCCGGGGCTGCTGGAGGCAACTGACGCCTGCGCTTGGCCCTAAGGCAAGACATCACAAGTCAACGGACAGGAGGCGCACAGGCGCTACCGCCGGCAGATGGGAGGGAACGACGGGGCTCGAGGAAGGAATGTTCTATCAGGATAATCAGATTTGGTGCAGCGGGAGGTGGGCTGACCGGTACTCCAGGGCGAGCAAGCTTGTTGGGTGGTTGCCCAGGAAGAGTCGTGCCGGGTTTTGCCGCCATCGGTATGTCCTCCCGCTCGCGTTTCTGTGAAGGAGTAAAGAGGAGTGAGGGCGTCAAAGATCGGAGGCTCATGTACCTGGCCCACTGTGGGTTGCGCCTGAGTCGGGAGAGTCTGAGGAATACGCTGCGCGGTTGGCGGTGTGGTGCCCACTTGAGGAGGGTTGATAGTTTGGGCAGAGATGCCGGTTGCTGGGATCGCTGTGGTGCCGACGGGAGTTGCTGAAAAGAATTTCAATGAGTGGAAACAAGAGGAGGAGGAGGAGGAGGAGGAGGAGGAGGAGGAGGAGGAGGAGGAGACATGAAGGAAGAGAAAAGGAAGCACGATAAGAGGAAGAAGAAGCACGAAGAGAGCGAGACAAAACTCAACGTACTTGCAGGCTTGTCCGTGGCAGGGTGGACAAGGTTGCCGTTCTTGCTCGTGACCAACGGAATCCCACGAAGATAAACCTTGACAACTCTTACAGTCTGAGAGCCAAGGACCAAGACGATCACCTGGTGATCTACTTCTGGAAGGATCAAGTCCTTCAAGACATCATTTGGAGTCTTGCATGCCTGAAGGGCTCTTCACACAACACCTCCCAGCGACCCACCGCACGGACCTCCCAGATCTTCTTAGTCGTCGACTTGAGGGGATCGAGTGTATGCGGCAGGAAGCAGGAGAGCATGGCGCCCATTTGCGAGATACGTTTCACAATCTCAGGAAGGTCAGAGGCATCGGAGCCTCCCAATCTGAGGAGAGCAGATGAGAGGACTTCTCCTCGAAACGTGCAACCTTGTACCTGCAAGGGATCTCATGGTGACGAGAGTTGGATGCCAACAGAATGTATTTCTCGCTCGATCTCCCCTCGCTGTTCTTCTTTCACGAGTCAGACGCACAGTCAAGTCCCTTCTTCATTTCACCTCCGGGAACAGTTCAAGTGCTGCAAAGAGTCCTTCTGTCACAGCGTTCTGTGCATACCCTCCCCCAACGAACTCAACGTTCCTATCCAGCAAGTCATCACCAGATGGATACAAGGGACACAAAGATTGAGGAGTACTTCGCCCACGAATCAAACAGCGGGAGCTTGTTTGTGAAGTAGTTGGTCTTGATAGTTTTGTCTCCGTATGGAGCATGATCGCAGAAACAGACCTGCAAGGGATAGTAAGGAAAGGGGAAAGAGCTCGAAGCCATCGTGCTCACCAGCGCATACTCGGTCTTGAGGATTGTATCAGGCTTGTGTCGTGTGTCGAGATAGGTCAGAGCAGGGTAGATACAACTAGGAGTGCAGAGTCACAAGTGATGTTCAACTGCATGGACAGCACTCATACTTCTTGTACAGGCTGGTCCAATACGGTTCCATGTACGAGGTGGAGTCAACCACCAGCACAACCTGAGCTGAGAGTAAAGAGGTGTATCTCCAAATCCGGCCAACGATCAAGGAGGGTAGGTTTCACCTGCCGGTTGATCAAGGGGGCTTGATTCGCCATGGCTGCTACTTGGCGGGAGCTGGCAGACTGTAAACCTGACAGAGGCAGCACTGATGAGATTCAAATTGACCCGCAAGGTTCCATGGGCATGGAGGACTCCGTTATTTCCCTACTCCCATCACATTGCACATCGTTGTGGGCATCGACTCGGGACTGCCCAGCAGTAGAACTTCATCGACATCAACTCATCTTTACATTTCCCTCTTCCATCGATCATCCCGCCCCTTTTCTTGCCCCCGCCCCCCTTCTCCCTATCTGCCTCCTTTCTACCTTCGTTCCTCGTTCTCATTCCTTGCTACCCGTTGCCCACTTGCTCCGTCCTCCCTGGTCTGCCATCCTGTTCTCTACATCTTCAGCTCCTTTACTTTGCTCTCTTTCTGCCGCTTCCGCCGCTTCCTCCCCCATATCGCATCGCCTTCCCTCCTCTATCCTGCTCTGGTCTCCTCCCTGCCATGAACTTGCAGGCGGGAACAGTGGAGAGGGGTGCATATTACAGTAGGGGTCATGATCAAATTAGTACCGGTACTATACCGTTTTTAATTGTGATGTTTGATAGGGTAGGGTGGTGTTGACATAAGGGTCCAACTATCCTAAACTCAGAGATGATGGTACAGAAAAGAGCGAAATCGAAACATTGACCATGTAGGGTAGGGTACCTATTGTTCCCCTGGGGGGTAGCCACCCTTTTCGTTCTCCTCTACATCTCCAGGGTACTCATATAGAAATTGTCATGGGTAGTCATAGGGGTGGGGTGTTTATCATGGGGTGGTATTATATTCTGATCACAACCAAGGCAAATATGGGGGTGGGTGTATTTTTGGTTTTGGGTCCAGAATTAACAACTTTAGTTAGCAGAAATGACCATCAACAGGCTCGCCTCAGGTATCTAAATATGAAGGGACAAAGACAGCAGATGAAGCTCGATTGCTTCTTACAAAGGGGTGGGGGAGCAGCTACCAGGAGGCTATGGGTGGGGTATGATCAGAGAAGCGGAAAAAGGTGGGTAGGGAGAAATAGTACCGGTAGTTTTTACATGCAAATATGGGAAAATAACTTGGTAGGTCACTACTCGCTGAAGGAATGGCATCCACAGAAAGGGGGGTAGGGGTCTTTGATGAAGGGGTGGGGTAATGGGATAGGCGCAAGGCGATCGGGGAATGGAGGATCGGCGCAACATAAAGAAGCCGGTGGGGGGAGGGGGAGCGGGAGGAGGAGAGGAGGAGCGGAGGAAGAGAATAGCAGGTCGAGTGGAGGCGGCAGCAGCTATGCGAAAGAAGATGGTCTCGTCCAAGAGGAAGAAGACGGAGCAAGACGGGGAAGGATCCGAAGAATTGTCAGTACCTTCTCAGGGAGAGGTAGAGGCGATCGTCAGAAGTTGCGAGGGAGCGCTGAACAAGGGAGGCGATGATGCCAGGAGATGCCTGAAGAGCCTGAGAACAGTCTTGTCCATGCAGGATGATGACTTGATCAGCTACGCTGTCGGCGCCGGAGCCGTGGACATGCTCCTTAAGTACATCAAAGGGAATTGCGGGGAGTGTATCCTAGAGGCAGCATGGTGCATCACCAACATAGCGACAGGATCCCTGGAGCATACAAGGGACGCGATGCGCTCTGCTCCCGACCTCATCATGCTGATCGACTCCCCGACCGCGGATTCAGGAGCAGTGCATATGGGCTCTGGGGAACATGGCAGGGGAGGACGAGCAGTGCAGGGATACGATCCGAGCCAACGGCGCGATCAGGCCGATCATAAACAAGCTCAATGGTAGGATGGTGGAGGTCCAGAAGATCAGCGCCTGGGCCCTTGCAAACCTCATGCGGGGCCAGGACCCCAAGTTGGACGAGTTCTTCGCAATGGGGCTGGGGGAGGTGGTGGTTGAGCTGATCCTGACGCAAGAGGAGGTGCCGTCCTCGCATGCTTCATCCGAACTCATGGTCGAAGTCGTCTGGCTCCTCTCCATCCTCACTCACAACCAGGAGAAGTTCGCCCTACACCTGTGCCAGGTTGGAGTAGCGAGCAAGCTTGTGCGATACCTCGAGAGCGGAATGGCGCAGCTGGAGATGCCGGCATTGCGATGTATCGGCAACATGATCTGCGGGCCGGACGAGATCACTGATCACCTCCTCTCGCATCCCGCCTGCCTCAAGCAGCTTCACGTGATGCTGCAGACAGGGAACAAGGGCCTCATGAAGGAGGCGACATGGGTTCTGTCCAACATCGCGGCAGGGAAGGCGAACCATCGAGCAGCGATGATGGAGGAAGGAGTACATGCGTCCCTCATCGTGATCCTCAAGACCTCACACTTCGACATCCGCAAGGAAGCAGCATTCGCTCTCTTCCACCTCCTGCACGACCCTGGTCCACCTCTTCCTCTCACCTTGCTGCCCGTCCTTTGCTGCTCCTGCTCCTTCTCCTGCTCCTCCATCTTGCTTCTACCATCTTACGTGCGTTTGTCTCTTTGCAGCTTACACACCAACTCTCTTCACTCCCGAGCTCGCGACGGAGTTTGTTGGGCTTCTGCGAGCTCCCGACCCTCAGGTTTCTCTGCTCCTTCCTCTCCTCCCCATCTCCGCCTCCCCCCCTTCCTTTTCCCTCCTCCTTACGCCCCCCCCTTCCCTCCCACCCTCCCACCTCCCTTCAACTCTCCTACCGTCCCCCGTCTGCCCTGACTCCACCTCCTCCTCCTCCTCCTCCTCCTCCTCCTCCTCTTCCTCCTCTCTTCTTCTTCTGCCTCTTTCTCCTCCTCATCCTCCTCCTTCTCCTCCTGCTTCCTCCTCCTCCTCCTGCTTCCTCTTCCCCTCCCTCTCTTGCTCTTAATCTCTCTTGCTCTTGCTCTGTCCTGCCTGCGCTGCTTCTGCGCTCTTTTACCACTTTCCCTTCCCTCCTCCCCCCTCCTACTTCTGTTACCGTCTTATCATCTTCTCGTTCTCCTTGTTCTCCTCTCTCGTCCTTGTCAGGTGGTCGACATGGCTCTCACTGTGGCTGAGCGAATTCTTGCGACAATGGAAGGAGGACCAAGACTCTTCGAGGAGGCAGACGGTCAGCCTCCTGCTCCTACCCCTGCCCCTCCACCTGCTCCTGCTCCTGCTCCTGCCCCTGCCCCTGCTCCTGCTCCTGCTCCTGCTCCTGCTCCTGCTCCTGCTCCTGCTCCTGCTCCTGCTCCTGCTCCTGCTCCTGCTCCTGCTCCTGCTCCTGCTCCTGC